ACAGGTTCCTCATGAGCACAATTATGTGGTCTGAATTCCCATTCTTCAGAGTGTTATCCATAATTTGTTATTATCCACACAGTTGAATGCCTTTGGATGGTCAATAAAACACAGGTAAATGTCTTTCTGGTATTCTCTGCTTTCAGCTAAGAACCATCTGACATGAGCAATGCTATCCCTCAATTCCATGTCCTCTTCTGAACCCAGCTTGAATTTCTGGCAGTTCCCCACTGATGTACTGCTATAACCATTTTTGAATTATCTTCAGCACAATTTTACTTGCATGTGATATTCATGATATTGTTCAATAATTTCCATGTTCTGTTGGACAGCCTTTCTTTGGAATGGGCAAAAATATGGATCTCTTCCAGTTGCTTGGCCAGCTATCAGTCTGACAAATTTCTTAACATGAACAAGTAAGCGCCTCCAGCATTGCATCCATTTGTTGAAACACCACAGTGGGTTTTCTGTCAATTCCCAGAGCCTTGTTTTTCACTAATTCCTTGAATGAAGCTTGGACTTCTTCTCTCAATACCATCGGTTCTTGATCACCTCTTGATTTACCTCCTGAAATGGTAGAATGTGAGCCGATTCCTTTTGATACAATGGCTCTGAATATTCCTTCCATATTCTTTTGATGCTTCCTGCATCATTCAATATTTTACCCATAAACCAAAAAAAAAAAAAAACCATCATTGTCGAGTCGGACCCGACTCATAGAGACCCCCTCCTTGGGTTTCGGAGGCAGTATCACTACACAAGTAGATTGCCCAACCTTCCTTCTGAGGAGTGGCTCGTGGGTTTGAACCGCCAGCCTTCTGTTAGCAGTCAAGTGCCTTAGGCACTACACCAACCAGAGCTCCCCCACAGAATCCTTTAAGACTGAAATTCGAGGCTTACATTTTTTTTCTTCAGTTCTTTCATTGTGAGAAATGCCAAATGTGTTCTTCACTTTGATTTTCCAACTCCAGGTCTTTGCACAATTCATTATAGCACTTTACTATGTCCTCCCAAACTGCCCTTCGAAATCTTCTGTTCAGCTACTTTAATTCACCATTTCTTCCATTCACTTCAGCTACTCTGTGTTCCAGAGTAAGTTTCAGAATCTCTTCTTACATCCACTTTGGTCTTTTCTTCCTTTCCTGCATTCCTAATGACTTTTTCTTTTCTTCATATATGATGTCCTGATGTCATCCCACAACTGGTCTTTGGTCACTAGTATTCAACACATCAAATAATCTTCTTCAGATGGTCTCTAAATTCAGGTGGGATATACTCAAGTCATATTTTGGCATTCCTGGACTTATTTTAATTTTTTTCAGCTTCAACTTAAACTTGCACATGAGCAATTGATGGTCTGTTCCACACTCATCCTGTAGCCTTGTTCTGACTAATGATATTGAGCTTCTCCATCACCTGCTTCCACAGATGTAGTTGATTTGATTCCTGTGTATTCCACGTGGTGAGGTCCACATCTATCGTCACTGTTTTTGTTATTTAAAGAAGGTATTTGCAACAAATATGTTGTTAGATGCACAAAATTCTATTGTGTGATCTCCAGCTTCATTTCTATCACCAACTACCAATCCTTCTTCGTTTCCAACCTTCACATTCCAATCACCAGTAATGATCAATACAGATTGATTGCATGTTTGGTCAATTTCAGACTGCAGAAGTTGCTAAAAATCTTAAACTTTTTCATCTTTGGTGTTAGTGGTTAGTACGTAAATTTGAGTAACAGTAGTATTAACTGGTCTTTCTGATAGGTGTATGGATATTATCCTATCACTGAGAACACTGTACTTCGGCACAGATCTTGAAATGTTCTTTTTGACAATGAATGCGACTCCATTCCTCTTCAATTTGTCATTCCCAGCATAGCAGACCATATGATTGTCTGAGACAAAATGGCCAGTCCATTTCAGCTGCCTAATGCCTAGGATGTTGACCTTTATGCATTCCATTTCATTTTTTACAACTTTAAATTTTCCTAGATTCATAGTCCATACAGTCCTCATCCTGATTGTAAACAGATGTGTGGAGCTGTTTCTTCTCATTTTGGGTTGTGCAGATCAGAAAATGAAGGTCCCCAAAGCTTTACTCCACCCACATCACTCACACTGACTCTACTTTGAGGAGGCAGCTCCTCCTCAGTCGTATTCTGAGTGCCTTCCAACCTGAGGGGCTCATCTTCCAGCATTGTATTGGACAGTTTTTGCCTGATACTGATAAAGGTCAGTGGTCAATTTTTTCAGAAGTGGACCTGGCCAAGTCCTTCTTCCTAGCCTAGTTTAGTCTGGAAGTTCCACTGAAACATATCAATCATGAGTGACCCTGCTCGTATTTGAAATACCAGCATCCCAGCTACATGCCAGCCACCACAGTAGGACAGACTGACAGACGAGTGGTGCAGAGACACCAGTAACTAACATTAAGCTTGCCCTGTGCTCAGCATCACAATACCCTGAGACACAAGAGGAAGAACTTTAGAAGCACGATCTCATTTGACCCTCTGAACAACCCTGTGATGTTTTTCTTAACCTTATTTTACTAATGAGGAAGCTGCATCAGAGAGGGCGAAATCACACTGCTAGGAACTGGCCAAGCCAGGATTCAAACCAAGCAGTCTGACTCCACCATGCCACAAAGCGTCATGTCCAGGTGTGCACAGTAACTAAACAAGAATGCCCAAAAGGTAACAGATTATTTAATAAGATTCACTGAGCAAAATCACCTATTTAGGTAATTTTATTTTTAGAACTGTAATGTACATTTACTAAATTCCAGAAAGAATACAGTTAACATGTATTAAATGAAAGCTTACACATTTAGAAGAAAATTTAGGGAAAGTCTAAGATAAAGGTTATAAAACATATTGTACTTGAGAGGAGCTACAGTATGACCACATAAAGTCAAGTTCTAAACACACGGAATCACAAAACCTGGAAATTATTGACAGCATCAACATATAAAGAGCTCCTATAAAACAACATGAGGTGGGCAAAGCATTTGAAAACCACAATGTACAGGAAAAGAAATCCAAAAGGTTAACAAAAACCATGAATGTGTCCAACCCTGTGGGAATCAAAAGGTGCTGATTCTCCTGTTTGCAAAAGGGAATATCCTCTTCCTCTGCAAAGTTATTGGAAAAATAAAACAGGAAACAGTGAAAGCACTTATTGGGAGGGATAGTAAAAGAAAACAAAGAAGAATGTTTTCAATAGTGGTGACAAACAAAGCCTTTTGAAGA